CAATATGCGTTTTTGCTGCCTGTTGCAGCGCTCTAGCGCTGCACGGCAAAAACGCATAAAAACCGAGAAGTTAAATTAAAAAATTGAAAAATTTGGCCGAAAAAATTAAATTAAATTAAAAATTAAATTTTAAAAATTAATTTTTTGGCCAAAAAAGGAAACTTTAAATAAAAATCCGAACTTAAAGCTTGATTGTTATTAATTATTGTAGTTGCTGTTGGAAGTGATGAACGATGTGAATTCACGTTCAGCGGACGGTAGTACAGCACTGCATTTTGCATGTGAGTATGGGCGAATAGCCCGGGCAAAAGCACTGATTGCTAAAGGTATCCCAGTGGATGCAGCAACATCAACACACGGTGTTACCGCCCTCCACATGGCCTCCCGACATGGCCATGATCTTATCGTCAAGCATCTTCTTGTTGCCGGAGCTCAGTGCAATCTGTATGTTTTTTTTAATGCATTTTTTTTTTTTGCATCTATGCAATGCAAAAACGCATATTGTCAAAGGGTTGTCTGTGTGTGTCCACGTGTGTGTCTGTGTGTACATGTGTTTCTGTGTGTGTCTGTGTGTACATGTGTGCCTGTGTGTGCATGTGTGCCTGTGTGTACATGTGTGCCTGTGTGTACATGTGTGCCTGTGTGTACATGTGTGTCTGTGTGTGCATATAAGTCTATGTGTACGTGTGTGTGTGTGTGTGTGTGCGTATGTGTGTCTTTGTGTGTATCTGCATCGAGTTTTCATCTCGAAATTTTCAAAAGCTACAAGGCTGAAACTTTCGCTCTCTAATTTTTTTTGTTTAATTTTTCTTATCTGCACTTATAAAATGTGGGTCATCTGTGGTCTGGTTCTCTAACTACTTGGTGCTGGCGACATTTTCATTTACTTTGACCAGTGCTGTATTGCCTAGTGGTCGGCTTACTGGTAATCCTGACATTTGTTTCATTTTTGGGAGAAATTACTAGTTCAGCGTTTCTCCAGACAGCATCAAAATACCTGTAAAATAATTTTTGTAGATTTACTCCGTTTTTAATAAATTTCTTCGTCTTCAGTCTTTAAAATTTGAAGCCGTTGACCAGGGCCCCTCTCCTCCTGTATTCGGCTTCTCTGAAAACCGCGGCAGTCAGATGTGACCCAGCTGTAGTACTTTTCTGGAAGGAGTCATGTGAAGGGAGGGGGGACGAAACGGTCGTCGTTTCCTTTTTTTTTCAAAAAAATTTTCATTCCGTCAAATAAGTAAGAGTGAAGTAAAAAAGAACCCTCAAAAATAGTTTCAATACCACATCTTCAGATTTTTTTTTCAAGTTTTTTTTTAAATTTTGATGTCGAATTTAAAAATATTCCTCACCTCTTTTGATTAGAAAGAAATTTCTGTAATTTTTTTTTTTCAGAAAAACGAAATCTGGACATACACCATTGCATCTTGCTGCTCTGCATGGTTATGTGAATGTTGTACGCACGCTGTGTAACAATGGAGCAGATGTCAATGAAGTGGACAATATTGGACGTACCGCATTGCATGCTGCTATACAGTCTGCAAGTTCCAATAGGTTTGTATCATTGTACTACATTAACTAGCCAACTGCCTTCCCCATCACGATTCACTAGCAAATTCCACCTTTCCAGTCTTAAAACTTATGGAATTCAGCCGTGCTAAATTTTCTTTGGTTTGTACGGCCGGTTATTTACGGCCCTTACCATATACTTCCTTTCAATCCCCATTTTACTTCATTTGATATGTCACTGCACTTTGCCAGCAATAATGTTACTCTTTCTGACACTTGAGAAGGTATGTTTTGGCTTACCAACGATCATAAAAAATTCTTGACAATTTTGACCTCCCCGTCGATCTTGCTTGAAGCGTCAAATTTTGATTTGGGCTTCTATGGCCCTTCCATTCTACTCTATTTTGTTCTGTTGCTAAATGGTTAATGGCATAATTAATGGCTCCTAGACTGCAGTGAGTTTTGATAATAACGAAATGTAATGGTTGGTATGAGATGTTATGACGAATCGGGAAAAGCACGAATTAAAAATGAAGCAAACAATAATAAAAAAGAGAGGAACAATGAAAATATGATAATAATAATGATGATGATGCTAATAATAATGACGATGGTAACAGTGATAACAATTATAACAGCATTTATAATAATGAAGTGAGGACAAAACAGTAATAGTGGAAAGTAAAGAAAGATAAAAAGATGTTGTGTTTGGATAGGCAGTTTTTGATTTTAAATCCTATTTTTATAATTCAAAATGTTATTACTGTGAAAACATTATTTCTGTTCCGGCTTCAGAGGGAGTGTAACAAAGCCAGTCCTACCGATTGGAAGGCAGAATTTTATATTTTGGTCGTTTAACAACTCTTAGTTTTGCAGCGCTTTGAACCATGTTTACACTTTGCTTCATCCTGCCCTACCACTATTGTGTATTTCGAATTTTCTTCAAATTTGACTTGTTTTGTTCGAGTTTTAGGGAGGACAACCGGACTTCATGCAAAAAACTGATAGTGATGCAGCTAAAGTTTCACGCGGCTCCATAATGCAAAAGTGCCATCCCAGCAAGATCTTTTTTACCTCTTTATGCAGAAAAAGGCCAAAAATCTGTCTCTGTTTTTGATCTCAAGTGCTGTTTTTCTCAGATTCAGTTAATGTTTTAGTGAATTTGTAATCGACTATCTGCTGAGCGCTGCTTCGACAAGCGTGCTAAAAGTGGACGTGAAAGGACGTTCAGCACTGCATTATGCGGCGCGAAGCGGATTCTTCCATGCTCTGCAGAAACTGCTTGGTGCCGGATTGCAGCCCACCGATCAGGATCATCGGGGTTGTACACCACTTCATTACGCAGCTCAAGCGCCATCCGATCTCGCATTAATTGTTAGTTCTGATCTGTTTTACCCGCATTCCTTCACAGTTTATGCGGGGGGTGGATCCGGGGCGGCTTGCTGGGAAGGAGGAGGGGATGAGGGCGTATGGCTTCTACCGGCGAGAAGCAGGGTTGGAAAGGAAGGGAGAAAAGAGGAGTGAGGCTCTTAGGGAGAGGGGGAAGGGGGAAGACCGGGAATACAGAAGAGAGTTTTCTTTAGCTTTAGACCCGAACTTTTGTAGTACTGG